TAAAAAAATGATGAATATAAAGAACGAGACAGTTAAAGGTAGGATAGGCTAAACATTTGCTTTCATTATCGTTGACCAATTAGCTTTAAATTGTTTAAAAGAGGCAAATTATTAGAAAAGCTAATTTAAGCAAAAATAAAGTCAAAAATGGACCAGAAAATAATTCTGTGCGTCTCTGAAAACATCTAGATTTTCTCCTGAGAAGCTCCGACTCAAAACAGAAATAGTTCTCACGTCAGTCCAGTCAGAACTCCGCTCCAGTCACGGTTCTTCACCCTCCATCTCTGTGTGTGTGTGTTTGTTCCTGTGGCTGCAGGTTACATCCTGGCTCTGGGGCCGCTGGTCTTCGTCAGCGTCTTTGACGTGTGGATGGAGAAGTTCACCACCAGACAGGCTTACATCATCAACCTGGTGTCAGTGGGAGTCGTAGCTTTTGGATGTACAGGTATCACTGTTCCAAAAAAAAAAGAAATCATCATATTAACTGTTGATCTTATAGTACGTGGTTTAATAATATTGTCATCAGTTGTTTTGAATTAGACTTGTTCATTTAAATAAGGGTTTGTAGTGAATACGACGTTCCTACTGTTTTCCACAGATGCAGGTGATAAAACTCTCAGCAGTTTCCTGACACAGTTCCATAAAAATGTTTTTTTCCAGGCCACGGTAGAAAGAACGTAGTAACAATATAAAACAACCGCTGCTGTAGTTTTATTATCTTTCCGTGCCGTGTTTGTTTGTAGCTGCATTGTAATACAAGTGTAAACAGCTCAGCTGTCAGAGGAGCGGCGGCGGCGATGGCGGCAGCGGCGATGTGAGAACTGTTAGCTGTCAGATGCTGTTAAAGACTTCCACAGACTCAGCCAATCACAGCTCAGGCAGCAGTTTCATTAGAGCAGGGTCACAGGTCACAGCGGTTTCCCTCAGGTGGTTTTTCTGGTTCCGGAGGTGCTGCCTCCTGTTGGTATTTGGCTGACTTCCTGTTTCCTCTCCAGTGCAGCAGTCTAGCTTCTACGGTTACATGGGGATGCTGCCAAAGAGGTACACACAGGGAGTGATGACTGGAGAGAGTGAGTCCACACACACACACACACACACACAGACCAAGATCGTGACCCCTCGTATTCACTGTTTGACCTCACCTCTTGCCTCTGCTGCCCCCCGCAGGTACGGCCGGTGTCATCATCTCCCTGTCGCGCATCTTCACCAAGCTGCTCATACCTGACGAGAGGAGGAACACACTCATCTTCTTCCTGGTGTCCATCAGCATGGAGATGCTCTGTTTCCTGCTGCACCTGCTGGTGCGTCGGTCCAGATTCGTCCGCTACTACACTGACCACGCTCAGGGCAAAGGCCAGGGCAAAGGTCACGACCCGCGGGACAACGGGACAGGATACATGGTCCATCACGACGTGACTGCAGAGGAAGTAAGATTTGTAAGTCTGTCTGTCACATGACCTGATCGTTTACAGTACAATGTACATGTACTTTAGCGTCTAATTTCTACTAAACATCATCATAGTTCACAAGAGTGACATCACCGTGTTTGGTTGAACGGCTGAGTGTAATTAAAAACAGTAATGAAATTATGGGCTGTACAGTGAAGTGTTGGTTGGTCTTGTCGCAGCACAGGAGAGTGAGTCACACATACAGTACAGTATATGTGTGTGCGTGTGTGTGTGTGTTTGTTTGTTTTATTGCACAATGGGGCTGAAATTCAATTCAATTCACTTCCCCCTTGTGTTTTACCTTATTAAATTTGCTTGTGTAAAGATGTGTGTCTGTATGTGTGGGTGTGTGTGTGTTTTTTTTCCACATATTCAGACTGCTCTTTGTTCTGGTTGCCGGGGGAAACCAAAGCAGAGCTCAGCATCCAGAGATAATCAAGAAGAGTGGAGCCTTTGGCACAGAAGTCTTTCTAATCAACTAATGGATCTCCCCCTCTCTCTCCCTCACTCTCTCTCATTCGTTCTCGTTCTCTCGTTCGCTCTCTGGCCCCTCCTTTCTTTATGCATGTGTGCATACACTTGTGTGTATTGCTGAAGCCGTACTCTGCAGTGTGTCGTGTTTGAAAACGAGCGTTGTTTAAAGAATGTTAATATGTATTTATGGGCTTCTGTGTGTGTGTGTGTTTGCACCAGGACTTATTGGCAGTCCACTCTGCTCTCTCCTCTCTCTGCCTCTGAAATCACTGTATCAACCAGCAGCCTCCCCCCTCCCTCCCCTCAGCCTCCCACTCTAAGAGCTGATGTCATTATCAGTGACAAGACATAAACCTAAAAGGATGAGAATCAAACCTCAGCCAGAAAATGTGCCGCTGCATATTCACAGCCTCGTGTCCACCTCAGCTGCAGGGAGCTCTCCGTGGTGCTGAACATCTCCCCACCTGTTCGTGTCGGGCCAGTGACGCTACAGCGACTCGGGCTGTGGCCAATTAACCCACAGTTCAGAATGAGCTCGAACGCCTTCACTGACACAGGAAACTGTAGGAAATAGAAGCGATGAATTCAGCAGAAGGATATTTTTAAATATCAGGACAGAAAATATCCACAAAATCATCACCGTAAATGATGATTTTGGGAGGTTTTTAAACATGCTTCACAAAATGTAGCAATTATTTGCATTTAGTTTCATAGAAAATAACTAAAATATGTATCTACGTGTGTTCAGGGAAATGGTGGCGCCGGACCGACACCAACAGAAGAAGGCGTGGAGGACTTTGTTGGTGGAACCTACATACGATTTGATGCCCCTAAAGCCAAGATAAGGAGGAGTTGGCCTGGAGTCAGGGGTAAAGTCACAGTTTGAAACAGTCACAGAGTGAAGCCGTGGTTCTACGTGTTCATCAGTGTTTTATAATCATCCCTGCTGTGGTGGTTTGTTTTTGTTCTGACCAGACATGATCGTGCACCGTTACGTGGTGTCCCGTGTGATCTGGGCCTACATGCTGTCCATAGCAGTGACCTACAGCATCACTCTGTGTTTGTTCCCCGGTCTGGAGTCAGAGATACGGAACCCCACCCTGGGAGAGTGGCTGCCCATCCTCATCATGGCCACCTTCAACATGTCAGACTTCGTCGGCAAGGTGAGGTTTGGATCAGAACCATTTTTTACTGATTGAAATTTTTTCATCAAGCATTACGTCATTCGGCAGCTCCTAAGAGCAGTGTTTCTCAAATGGTGGTAATGACCCAAAAGTGGGTCAGAGGGATCATTATGGTGATCTGGATATCAGCTTTTAGTACTAGTAGTTTAGACTAATTAATTTGCAACTTTGCAAAGAAATAAGCAGTAGATGATGGTAGAAAATTGTATAGTTTATAGTAAACATTTGACGCTGAGTCTAAAAAAGTGAAGAATTGTATAGTTTATAGTAAACATTTGATGCTGAGTCTAAAAAAGTGAAGGATATGTGAATTACTGGACTATTTTACAAGGTTAAAAAATAGGCCGTGATTGAAGGACTGCAGGTTATGGGTTGGTCCCGAGGCTTGGTAAGATGAGGATTGTTGGTTTATAAATGGTCTGCTGCCCTCCTGTGGCCAAAGAAATTACTGGATTTATTGTTAATGTCCCACATGGCAAGGGGGTAATAAACGAGACAGAAGAGTGGGCTATTTTTCATTTCAGTTTGAAAATGTTTATCTTGTGTGGTGTATTTTTATTTAAGTTAGAAGCTCTTCTTCCTAGTCGGCGATTAATATTTTTAATTCTGCTTCTGAGTTCATGTTTCATTTCATTTGCTCTCCTTCTATTTAAAGCCGTGGTCTCAGCTGCTCCTCCTGTTTTTTTTTTTATTTGCAGGTTTTGTGAACATTTTTCAGCCTTTTAAAAACAGGTCTACGTATGTAAATGTGTTCTCAAAAGCTCCGGAATGATCCATTTTAATTTCACACATCCTGGGATTTAACTGCACTGCAGGCTCCGACTGAAACACTGACCCTGACATTGTCCTTGAAAACTCACTGAAGAAGTTGTTCCATTTATTGAAGCTGGGAGAAAAAAAAAAGTCGTTTGTCTTTGGATTAATGCCCATGATCTTAATACTAGTAAAACCTGCCGTCCTGGAGTCATAACTCTTTAGTTTGAAGTTGTTAGAGTTTGTCCTTTGAAAAACGATGTTCCTTCAACATTTAAATATCTTTTACTCCTCAGATTCTGGCAGCGCTGCCGTACGATTGGTCTGGAGGACGCCTGCTCTTCTTCTCCTGCCTGAGGGTGGTCTTCATCCCCCTCTTTGTCATGTGCGTTTACCCAGGGGGCGCTCCCACCCTCTCTCACCCAGCCTGGCCCTGCCTGTTCTCCCTTCTGATGGGAGTCACCAACGGCTACTTTGGTTCCGTGCCCATGATTCAGGCCGCGGGGAAAGTTCCGCCTGAACAGCGTGAACTGGCCGGTCAGTCTGTCGCTTCACTGACAAATCAGTTAACTTTTTATAACGTTTTTATCATGTGTTAATTCTAATTCATAAGTGGATAAATAATTGTAATTTTCAACATTACAGAAATTGAATTTACAAAAACAGAAAAAAACCAGATAGATAGAAGTTTTTTTTTTCATGCAGTAACAAAGAAGCTAAGCCTAAAGAACATGAATAAATGTGAGGAGAAGATTAAACTTGTACTTTCACCCTGAGAAGATCAGGAGAATTTGACAGTTTTTAGGCCAAAGACTCGTTCATAGTCAGAGTCTTTGACAGCAGAATGACCTGCTGGTTGATCAGCTAACTGCCAATTATGAATGTTCCCTTCTTTTTTAGCATTCAACACAAGGATGTTTAACTTCCATCCATCCAATGACCAAACATTTCAAAATTTCCCCCTGTAATACCTCTACTGACCACTGGGTGATGGATATCACTTTAGAAACTGTGTGTAACTTTAACAGATTGAAGATGAATGAATGTTGTGATAACGAACCTTTTCCCTGTGTTTTCTGCTCCCTCTCTGTCTCCGATGTCTCTCCGTCCTCAGGAAACACCATGACCGTCTCCTACATGACAGGTCTGATGGTGGGCTCTGTTGTGGCCTACGCAGCGTACAGCTTCACCTCTCCACAGGCTGGAGCACGACTCCCAGCACTCAACGTGCACATATCTGCCAACGGAACGGGCTACTGAGTACAGATGTACTGTATACACACACACACACTCACACACACACACACACTCACACACACACACTAATACCTACATGAGAGGACCCTGGAGGGTGGGGGGGAGGAGGGGCAGCACTGACTGACTGATGAGCTCTGATGGACAAACACAGGCTTTGGTTCCGTTTTTTTTTTTTTTTTGCTAAAAGGAAAAAAAAGAGACAAAAGGTAAATGTAGCACTAAAAGGATTATGGAACAGATTATGGAACAGATTATGGGACAGATTATGGAACTCTGCTTCTTCTCTAACCCACTGACCTTCACACTCAGTGACTGGAGGAAGTGACAGTCTCTGCAGCCGATGAAGCCGTCGCAGCAGCTCATCTCTCAGCATATTTAGCGTCTGCATCTGTGTAGCAAATGCATCAGGTGACATTTGTACAGCGTGAGGTCGGGTCACATCGCCCGGTGGGCAACATATGGCTCGTGGTTTACAGCAGGACCTGGTGTCTGGGGACACATATGTTTGTGGTCAGTGAGGCGTTCGCTGGACCAGGGGTTTCAGCTGTTTTCTCCTCAGATAAAAAAATATTAATTTCCTAACATTTGGACTCATGGCTGTGAGGCCGATGGTCAAGGAGGGCCATCAAAATGTGTTGTCATTATACAGAGGAAATAGAAGATAATTTTATATATAAATGTATATTTAGCATGTAAATAAACATATATGAACCAGTGCCACTGCAACAGTAGAACCAGAGCTGAACAGAAAAGTGTTTATGTTTGTTTTGGGTTGGGGTTTTTTTCAAAAAGTGGTGTTAAAACTATAAAGTAATAACAAAAAAAAACATTTTGAAAGTTTTCAAAAAGTGGTGTTAAAACTATAAGGTAATAACAAAAAAGGAAATTCAGTTACAAAATTGTCCATTTAACTTGGATGCCACCATTGACCAATGACTGCTGGGAGGGATTTAGCCCCGCCCTTCAATCTCTGGCCAGGATTAAGTATTAAAGGATGGATGGATGAGACGGAGAAGACAAGAGTCTGGCCTTAACCCTGGCTCCTCCCCCTTTAAAAAAATATTTCTTATCATTTCTAACATTTTCTTCTAACCTTGTTTTTAGCTTGAAAAGATTCTTTAACGATGAAGGAATAATGAGGAAGCTGTGAAATATTTCCTGTGTCTGTGATTCAACATCCACTCATGTTGGCGTCTCAGAAACTCTGTGCCAAAAAAATAAATAAAAAGAAAATCAGTATTTCACACTGAATTGATTTTGACATCAACTATAGAAGAGGCAAAAAGAAAAAATACGTGGGTATCAACTATAGAAGAGGCAAAAAGAAAATAACAGAAATACTGTGGTTTTTTTTTTGTTGAAAGCCATGAAGTGCTCTACATTATGTAGGTGCTGCTCTGGGGCTGCTTGAAGAATGGCTGCGTGCCGTTGGGGAGCTAACCTCATTACTGTATGTAACTGCACGTCCCGCTGTGCTGATGCCACTGTCGGTGCCCGGGGCCCCTCTGCTCTCTGGGCTTTCAAGGTGTTTTCAGTTATTTTTGGGGGAAACTCCTGATGAAGGACACAGAAAGTTTTCTGCGTCCTGTTTCTGTTCTGCTCTGGTGGAAAATCCTGAAAGCTTCAAAAAACAAGTTGGGGTTACAGCAGAAAGATCAATAATTACCTCATTTTTCATGATGTCAGTCATTTGGTTCTACAATATTGAGTTGTTTAATATACTTCACAATTGCATTTCTAAAAATATGAAATGTTATGATTTTCTTGACATTTAAAACTGTACGTTTTCCGCAATTCTGATTGCTGTTTTCAAACGTAAATTATCTTCCACTCCTGCAGGGGGTGCTATAATAGCGTGTGCAATACCCTAAGATAGTTAGATGGTTCGCTGTGATTATCTCTGACATTGCCTTTCTGCAATAGAAATGCACTACAAATTGTTAGAGGCTAAGCTAAGCTAACCCTATTCTGCTAACCCACATCCACCACTAGTCTTCTACTTTGTGTTTCAATAACAGCTGTGCATTCTCAAGCAGTATTACTGCCATCTGCTGGGCTAAATGTTTCCACCGAAAAGCATCCCAACAATTTTCAAAAAAAAAAAGTGAGAACACTGACAGAGGGAAGTGTTTCTGCAGACAAACACAGTGTGTACTTGTCTGACCTCCTGAAAATGACTGAGGCAAATTAAACATATTATTCTAGGGATCGTTTTTATCCTGGGAACACCTGACTACACGACCTTTGACCCACGGTGACATTAATGAGAGTAAAACCGCCCTCGTTTTTTATTAAATGTAAACACGACAGACTCGCAGCTCGCCTCCTGCAGAGAGTGTAAAGGACAAAGAGTCAGATCTGTGGAGCGAAGAGGAGAAATGATGACGGTGATCATTAGGTGAGAAGATGGAAAACCCTGCTGAGGTTTGGAGGTTATTTCACTGCTGAGGGAACGACATTCCCTCTGCAGCTGTTACAAACACGGTGACCTGTGAAAAAGGGGGGAAAAAGAAAAACAACTTCATATTCTGTATTTTATCTCCTACACCGGGCCAATATTTGTCATCGCGTGACATTTCGGTTGTTTCTACTTCTGTTTGTGGTTCATATCAGCCACAGTGGAGGGCGATAACGCCACCTCGACATTCTTCAGAAACTATTTGGTTTTATTACAGACTACACACTGTGAAATCTGAGAATAGTGTCAAAGAAATATGTTCAGGTAGAATATAGACAGAGTATATTTGTGAATAGGGAAACATTTAAATCAAGACGAAGGCGAGGAAGGAGACGTCTGCTGCTTCATGTCACGACTGCATGGTGGTTTTGTTGTTGCATTAGCTTTTACTGGAAATGTGTGTGTGTGTAACTAAAGTGTCTGTTATCTCTTTATGTCGCGACTTCTGAAGACGTCTAAGTTCAAAGGGGAACGAATGTGTAAAAGTCAAAGTTTTTCATGTTTATTTTTTTCAACACTCATTGTTGCCTTAAAGGTATTCATCAGAATATGACGATTAGAACAGAGTTAACGCTGTACGTTCTAACTGTTTTTTGTTTTTCTGTCGAGAGCCTTCGTGATCCATGTCAACAACAATGCCTTTTCTCAGTGTGTTTGTGTTCAGGGCCGTGACATCAGCAGAGTGAAATAAAGATCTGTTTATATCTGCGCCTGCAGCCTCTTTTTTATGTTGGCTGCTGCTATTATTGTACTTACATATTGACATGAAAGAAGAAAAAGAATTTTGGGGTTGTTTTTTTATTCTTTCTAAATGTGGTTCAGACCATATTCTCTCTGCGTCTGCCAAAACAGGATGTACCCACATGTAGTCGGCCTGCTTTTTTCTTTTTCTTATTTTCCTGTTTGAACAGGAAAATAACAACCACATGCAAATGCTGGCTGAGAACACAATGTGTGTGTGTGTTTTACTGCTAATGATAATTTGGTTGATCAAACAGGAAATCAGGACATTAGAGGGAAAATTTAAAACAAGAAAATCTAAAACAAATAAAGTGATAGATTATATATAATATATAATAAATAGATTAACATTTTTATGCCAAACCTCAAATCAAACTCGGTCTAGATCTTTGTTAAATGGCATCGAGGTGGATTAAAAAAAAACTAAATTAGTTCTGGTTCACATAAAAGCTGCGCAAATGCCATCATGTCAAGACAAAATAAAACACACGGTGTAAAAATTACACCTGTAGCTATTTATATCGCCCACAAGAGGGCGGCACTGTGCAGAGAAAGGTGTGGAGAACAGCTACAGTGAAGGTAGCAGAATGTGGATCATTAGAGAACAGTTGTTTTTAGTTATCTTTCCATATCTGTGTCACTCAGCCCACAGAGAGTTAACGGCTAAAGAGTCATAAAGAAAACTTTCCCAGTCTGACCTCTGACCTCTCAATCTTATGTCCCTACTAAGGACACACACTCGTTTAGGAAAAACCCAAAATATACTGGTTCATATATATATATATATATATATTTACTAACGATAATAAAACTTTGTGTGTGTGTGTGAGAGAGAGAGAGAGAGAGAGAGAGACCGAGAGAGAGTGAGAGTGAGTGTGTGTGTGTGTAAATCTGTGTTTGTTCATGCGCTAATTTCGGATGCAGCTGCAGGGGAAAGTCTCTGCCGTGTGACAGAGCAACTGATCATTAGTCATTCTGCTCCACATACTGTAGTGAGGAGGAGGACAGGAGGGAGACAGAAGGGGGAGGAGGAGGAGGAGAAAGGGAGAGGATGGAGATGGAGAGAATACAGGGGAGAAAAGATTCTCGGCTGTTCAGTTTTTTAAAAGTTAAAATTAACCCGGGTCTCAGAAAAACTTCTCTCCTTTTCCACTAAGTGTATCGAGTTGTATTTGAATTTTACCTGAGAAGACGAGCGTCAGCGAGAAAAGTTGGACAAATGCTGTTCCCTGAGCCGTTCAGTCTGCAACACGATATCCTGAGCTTATCTTGTTGAGGGGTTTTTCTTATATTTTTTAGTCTATGTTTGGGGACAGAATAAAAATATTAATATTTTACATTTGTACTTTACAAATCTCTTTTTTTATTTATATATATATATATCCGAGTGTCTACCACTTACCGTACGTGCTACCAAATGTAGACCGGAAATGATTAATTTCCCCCCAATTCTGTACTACTGATAACGAATTCCGGAAAAATGATAATTTTGACATAACTTGAACTTAACTTTAATATATTTACATATTTACAACCGCCAATTAAAGGAAATTCCATTGGTACTGCGACGTGTGCAGTCTTCGTCTGATAACTTAGCCTTGAAGACAAAACGCGGGGAAAATGTACGAGAAAGAACTCAGAACGGCAACAGTAGTCTCTCCAACTGCCTGTATTTTATTCGCTTTATTTAACGCCATTCGTTTAAGGATCAATGAACCTTTATTTTCTAGGTTGATTAAATGTAAACAATCATTAATACTGGAGAGCACGCGGCTCAGAAGTCAGAGAGCTGACTCACGTCTTGGTTTGTGGTTTATTGGTCACAGAACGTGGCGATATTATCCATTTCTGACGGTTATCTTTTTATT